AAGATTCTACATACACTTCTAAAATTTTTATTTCCATTTCTCTCCACTTAAAAAATTCCAACAACTCCAATGGTAGGGATGAGAGATTAAATAGGGAGAAACTAGAATCAGCTAGAATGCTTGGACAAGAATAAAAACACCTTTCTCCTCTCTCTATTCCATTTATTTTTTTTTAAACCGAAAGCCTAAAAAAGAACAGTGTTTCTAACTGTTGATTTTAGAATAAAGTATAAAGGATTTAAGTACATTTTGATCCAACCTAGATGATGTTTTTAAGTTGAAGGATGAAACAGAAAACCACCAACCCAATTACTGTAACTCAATCAATACATTCCCTCTCTCATTCTTTCTCTTTCTCTCTTTCTTACCTCATTTTTAACCCTTCTATTATTTATTTCCATTTTCAGAAACGTGTTACCAAATAGTTTGAATAATATCATCCCCTATTTCCTATTCGTCTGTATTCCTAATCATGCATTTCAAATGAAGAAAAGTCAAAAGTTTTATGGGACACTGGGGAAATGTGTGGCCAATCAATTTATATTATTGTAATTCTTTGAGTCTGTGATACAGAAGAACATGTGAGTCAAGCACTATTCTCCTGTTTGAACACAAAACATATGGCACGTTCAGGAATGAATTTATATTCTGTAGGACACATTAATCTCCTGACATGTGGCGTAGGAAGATAGTGTCTGTACTTTCCCAGTTCTGTCATCACACAGTCAAAAAGGACCTGTAGAGTCGCTTGCAAAGGATATTTAGAAAGACTGCCTCCTTGTTTGCAGACCTTCCATGCCTTCAGAATAATTCATCCCCCTTTTATATCAGTTGAGATGAGCCTCAACTAGAAGGTCAGTTAGAATGAGGGTGACCCAGTCCCAGTGAATAGTAGAGAAGCTGTTTTGAAGAAGACTTGAACTTGTTATGTGCCAGTAGCAGAAGAGAAAAACCCTAGAGTCCTGTGGGAAACCAAGATCCAAAGTTAAGATGCAAGGATTTCTAAGTACAGCTGTCATGGAGGGATTAGTGTAAGATCAAACTTCTCCATGCCTGAATGGTCATTAAGAATGTTTGAATGTACATATATATAATAGCCATATACATAATGCATTTGAAAATAATTTATCTAATTACTATGTTTCAACGTGATAGCAAGACATGTTCTATCTTAGAATGTTCCCAAAACTTTCTTAAACAAGAAAAGGGCTTTTAAGACCTTGCAATTTCCCAGATGAAAGGTACTGTAGGATGCCTCAGCAGGTATGCATATCTCAAAAAGGAAGTGATTGACTGTAACTGACAGTTACATTATATGATCCTGGCTTAGCTGCTTTGGGATTCACATTGGCTGGAGGTTCCACTGTTAGGATTGTCTGAGATTCAGTCGTTTGGTTACTAGGACCTACTCCTAAGCCATGATTTGCTTACTCATCAAAGGTTTACAGCATTAATTCTGATAAGGAAGCCATTTTGGTTGGGCCAACTTTACCATCCAAATATGGAGCCAAGTTAAGGTACAATTTAATTAACAAATCTCAAAAGTCAAGGGAAGTTCTCTGTGACAAATCTCATTGCTCTGAGATAAAAAGACATGAATGGGGGTAATGTACATCAAGATGTAGGAGGAGAGAAAATACATTATCAACTGAGAGTAGCATTTATGCAGAAACTCAGTGGAAGATGGGGGCATGGTGAACCAAATAACCAGAGTGTCTGCAGATAGGTGTTTAAAGAAGGAAGCTGGTGGAGTAAGTGTGGCCAGACCTTGTAGGACCCCGTGGGATATGTTCACTTGCGTTGTCTAACATCGGAAACCCATCATTTTCACTGTTTGAATGAACTGGTAGTTAGACCACCAAAACAACCACTTCACTGTTTGAAACAAATAGCTGGGAGCAGTGAATAGACTGGAGGAAAGGAGAGAGTGTAAAGGGGAGTTTTCGTCCATTTTGTATGGAGAGGTATGGTGAGGGCTAGAGGGTCTGGATGCAGATGGCGGGGAAACAAATTCAAATAACAAATCCAAGAAAGTTAGCAGAGGTGAACTAGGGCAGATGAGTACTGAGGGAAGAGAAATGGCATTCCAGTGGTTGGGAGTTTGTATTTAACGTTAGAATCGTTGGTTGTTCCTTGAATGAACTAGTAAACAGCGAGGAACGAGACAGGAAGCCAGGCAGTGAGCTTGTTGAAGGGACTGATGTCTGAAGCACCATTGTAAATTCAAAACCTGACGTCCTCAAAGCAGAAGGGGGACTAGCGGAGGATAAAGACGATGGGGAGGGTAGTGGGGGATTGAGTATGAGCAAGGGCACAGTTACAGTGTCAAAATGAAACCCTTTATACGCGAAAATAAAATGTTAAAGAGTGATGCCAAGTGTCATGTTTTGATGGGACTCGGATGAAAAGATCGAAGCCTAAGTAGGGTACAAAGACTGGAACCATTCCATGAAGAGTTATAATGAGCTTGCCTAGGTAGGATGTGCAGAGATGAAGGTTCAGGAGGTGGTTTTTGAGAAATTATGGAACTTAATGACCTGACAAGTTTTGCAGTGGGCAAATGTTTTTGTTTGTTTGTTTTTTGTTTGTTTTGTTTTATGCTTCAGTATCCACAGCTTTCCTTTTGGGGGTAAAACACACTTTTTTCTCACTAAGGCATCCTTTTTCAGATAGCAGTCTTAGTAGCTATCTAGAGATAACTACTCTATCCTGTAGATGTTGCACTGCAAAATCCAGCTGACCAACAAGAATGTTGCATCCTCAGGCCACAGTGATGTCTAGTGTCCCTAGTTTTTTTTTTTTTTTTTTCCTTGTGGCTAAGAGCAGAGCTCCCACAGAAGGACAGAAAGCACACAGCAGCTGTGCTCAGTGCTGTAAGGGGGCCTGGGGGGAGACACCATTTCCAGTGGAGTTGCTAAAATTCTCCCTTGAAAACATTTGCTTTAACAGATTCCATACTGATTTGCAAATGCCAATACTTTTATGGTAGATAACCTAAAATGATACTTGGAAGTACCAAAGAATCTACAGTGTTGCTAGCATCGAAGAGGCGTCTAGGCAGAGGGAGAAATCAAAACAAATTGGAAATGAATCACTTCCCCGACTGGTTCCTCGCATGTTATCATCTGGCTTTGCCTATTCCCTGGTTTAGTTTTAACTTCCGTTGTCCTCTCTTCCTCTTCTGATTGACTCTGCTATGCAGGATACTGCCCTTCAAGTCTTCTCTTCATGGAGGGCAGTTCCTACAGAACTCTGCTCACGAGACACTTCACTATCTAACTTCCCTGGTTGTGTCTTGTATACTGTAAGTTCACAGGTTGTGTGGTGGCCACACATAGCTATCTCAGAGAAGCCTATAATTACCTCCTGGCATGTTTGAAATCCCAAGATTTGACAATGTTCTACCTAAAGCCGAAAACTATCCTGTAAGCCCCCAGCATTAACTTTTCTGAATAGAACAGAGGTGTGTAGATTGGCAGTTTCTGCTTGTTTTAACAGGCTCTTAAACTGGAACTGTTCCTGTAGGAAGGTCCTGGGAATATGGTTCCCTGGGTAGAGCTATTGAGGGACAGAACCTTTTAGAACTGGAATCTAGTGAGGTCATTGGGGTTGCCTCACAAGGGGATTAGAGATTTCTTATGGACACCCTGATCAGTTTTCATGAGAATATTATTATAAAAGCCCAATGCCTGACTCCATTCAGTCTCTCATTGGTTTCTGTCTGGCTATATGACCTCCACTTCTACATGCTTCTATTAGTATCTTCCTTCCATGGGGCAAACCAGTCACGAATGTTCTCCACCATGAGCTTGTACCATGCTGTTTGGACTTTTACCATGCACATCCATGAAAAAATAATCAATCCTCGTTTCTTTATAAAGTTAGCCTGGCTCAGGTATTTCATTACAGTACTGAAAAAAAATAATGTGTGTGCTTAACTTCATAGTCAGTGAATATGAAAGAGGCTCTGAAAAATACCTGCCTGGGGTCACAGCTATCTTGTTAGTGTGAAATTTAAGTATCATGTGTCTCACCTCTAATGACTAAGGATAGACTACAGAGGGCCGTGCCTAGAAATCTCATACTGCTTTACGGTTCTTCATCTTCTGTCCTGCTGTATCAAACCTTTCATCTAGTTTAAACCTATGCAAATACACATTGCAGAATAATTTAAGCACTGTAATAGTCTTAATTATTGGGGTAGTTGCCAAGACTGATTTTACATTCCGTTGCCTCCAGACACACCAGTGTTTAAAACGTAGTAAATCAAGATCCCATGAAGGAAAGGGAAACCTCCGGGTGGCTTAGAAGGAGAGCAGTTGTAAGGGTGTGGTTATGCAGAAAGCAACCTGCATTGCCCAGGTTCTAAGAACAAAGGTCGTTGTTACTATCCCTAGGGGCTAGGACAGGGAGAGATGAGGGTACTGAGGGAGCACAGGGGCTGGACTATCTGGTGAAGGTGCAGCAGGACTGTTACATGGAAGCTGAGAAGTGAGACGGAGATAGACACAACTACGGCCTGGGATGCTGCTGAAGGCGAAGAGGAAGAGAACTGGCATCTCCATACCTCCTTCTACCTTCTGTCTCATACAGGATCCCCACTCTCTGAATCATCTGGGAGTCAGATGAGGCAGAAACCTGGGAAGTACAACCTGGGTCAGTTACTCCTTGCAATGCACCATAGGAATGAGCAAGGAGCGTGCTTAGGAATTCCATGATTGGCACTACATAAGCCTACGCTGAGGGGATGAATGAAGTGTGCAGATAAATGTGTGCAGAGTTAGTGTCGCTGCCATTATGGCAACACTAGCCTTGCCAGGTTTAGATCTGCATAAGGACGCATACGTAAGGCAGATGACGTCCTTCCCCGGTGCATTATCTAGGGATGCCTGATCTACCTGGCTTCTTCTGTTGCTGATAAATCCTCCTTCTGCCTGACTCTTTCTTCAGCTATGCCATATGGCTTTGACTGGGGATCCATTCAGACGTCACCAGAATACTTTGTGTATTGCTTGTTTTATTTTATATGTTGATTTCACTAATGCCTATGAGGAAAGTTCTATTTTTCACTTCCCATTTCTTTAGGTGAGAGCATGATACCAAAGCCTCAGGAACCAAGACCATAATATCATCTCAGTTTTCGGGAAACAGAGGAGTATTTCAAATCATTGGGTTAGTCACTGTAATCTAAGGGAATCAGCCTTGTGTACCAGTTCCTCTTCAAAGTCTGACCTACGAAGACAAAAGGGAAACATCACCATTAGTAATCCTAAATAAATCACAGACATCACACACACTAATGGTTTACTCAGGAGAGAATGCAAACAGAATATTTAGTTTTTCCTTTTTACCCAGACACTGCTTGGTGTAGTAATGACTACTGAAGCCGCTGAAGATGTTATCATGAGTTTTTTTTTTTTAATTTCCCTTAGGATCCATAGTTAAACACAAATCCACAAAATCATGCAGTCCCTGGAAATGGTTAAAAAGATAACAATCAAGTTCAGTTGGCTCCTTACTTGAAGTTAGTGCCTCTGTGTTGGTTTCTGAGATTCCCCCTTCTCTCTTTTTACACCACCCTCCTTGAATACAAGATGCAAGTTCAGTGGGTCTCTTGGGCATCGTTTGTGGCCACACATTGATTTTCTTAAATTGAAAATTCAATATAAGTTGGTAAACTAACTTTACTGGGGCGAATTCATTTGTACCTAGCAGATGTATGATCTTATCCCAGAACATGGGGGAAAAAATCATTTTTCTGTCTCTGATGTTTAGAATTTTCAATGTCTAATAATCAAGTTTTAAGAACCATAAATTACCAGTGGGATTTGTGAATTGCTTTCTTCTTCTAAGTAGCTGCCAAATGAGTTTGCATTGCTGTTCTTGTTCATTATTTTATTCTTAAGGATGAATATGACAAATTTGTAAAATCAGATTCATTTGAAACAGAAAGCATGGCATGCAAAAATGACCTCAAATAATTATCTTCAAGATCTTTGCCGTCAAACTTTGCATTCCAAAGTCTATCATTGGTAGAACAAATTACTAGTACCCTACCCAGGTTCCCCTTGCCAGCTACCCACACTGTGCTCAACTGATGAAAATGTAGGTTCACAGCTGCCTCCCTCTCTAGAGGATTGCTCTTGTTCACTAATCTCTCTCAAGTCTCCCTTGGCTCTATGGTCCAGGGCTCACTGTTAGGATGAATGTGTGGTTATGGGGGAACACGTGGCATATGAGCATCTTTATCTCTGTGCAGACTGGAATCAGAGAGAAGTGGAAATGGAGGATGTTAGGGCCAGAGATAACATTTAGGGACACATCTCAGTGACCACCTTCCAATTACCTCCCAATAATCTATTCAAATTTTGAATCTACCAATGAACTAAACTTTTTGGAGTTTCAATGGCCTGAGTGTCTCAGAAAAAGGTCTCACAGACATACACAGAAGTATGCCTTAGTTTTCAGACTTCATTGGCCCTTCTTACCCCAAAAACGTGATGATCAAGGCTTATTTTCACACCTTGCTTGCTAGTAGTCGCTGCTACCCAGTCAGGTGATGATGGTTGTAAAATTTCTCTCCTGACCAGGAGCTAGCTTGTGTCTGATGCCAGTGAGAACAGCCTCGCCTCTTTACCTCTAGGTATAAAAGCCTCTGCCGATACAATACATCCTCAGCAGTGCCACATGCAACAGATGGGAGCCAATTCCTTTTTGAGCTCATATCCTTAATATTTTCTCCTGCTCCATCTTATCATTTCTCTGACAAGTCTCATCTGAGAACGTTTCCCTTCACAAATGTCTTGCACTAGCAATCCTCCAGTTTAATCTACACAACCATTTAGATACTGGAGGAAACTAATTTCTGAAGACAAAATGAAAAACTAAACCCTTGGAGCACTATCCACTAAAATTGCCATGACTAGCATTAGTACTGATGTCTCATAGCAAGTACTGTTTGACTATCTCTGATTATTAGAAAGTAAACTAGATAATTGTGTACATGTTTAAGTGACTTAAGCTAAAAGTTTTACGTTTTAAATTCACCAGTGGTGAGTGTGTGTCAGCGAACTTTTCATGGCTGTGTGTTCCAGGTCTGGTCCTCTTCCTCTGCCCACTTTGGTTTCCCTTCCTGCCTAATGGTTCACAGTGAACCACAACTGAGTACCAGCTGGTACAGGACTAGTGCTCTGAAGGATTAACACATCTTGCTGGATTCTGTAAGGTTGTCTAAGGCCACATAACTATTATCCCTTCTTTACGAATGATGAATCAGAGACTCAGTGACCAGTGGTATATGGACAATAGACAACAGAGATTCAAATCTGAGTCTGTGGATAAAACTCACCATTTTAACTCATGAGTCCCTTGTATAAAATCAGTACCTTACCTGTGTTACACACCAATTCCCAGTTCCTACTTGCTTTCTACATGGTAGTTATCACAACCTTCATGGTGTTACCTCTGAACATAGAACATCATTTCTTTAGACCCTCAGTCTGTAGCTATTTATGGCTGACTCAGGAATCCAGACACCCAGACTTTTTGCCGACATTCTAACCATCCCCGAAAAGCCCACACCTGCTTGAACTCTTTCACTTGCCCATCCTGTGTCAGCCTGTCTTGGGGTGCTCCCTTCTCAGATCACCTGCTTTTCAGTTCTTGACTCAAAATCCCTGGCTAGGAAAAGCTCTAGACCCTTTGACATTATGGACCACTGTACTAATCTTTTATCTATTAAAATAATGTGTTTATTACAAATGAGAGTATTTTCATTGTTAAAAATTAGAAAAGACAAGTCAAACTTAAATAGAAGCTAAAATACAATTTACACCCCAAACTTCTTAAACCCATAACAACCTAGAAAATTTCCATTTACACATTGTATAACTATGAGTCTGAGATGTGATATAATTTGTGTAGTTATCTTTTCATGTAACATTGACAGACTTTATGCCAGTAAAGCTTCCTCTATGAAATAATCGTTTTGCTCACACAGACTTTTCTACTCTAGCTTTGGAAGGTGAGACACAGCTCCGAGCTCCCCATCCTGCTGCTGCTGACTATGAAGCATTCAGTGCGACACCAATGTTGTTTCACAGTACTGACAAAACTCTGACTTTGCTCTGTTTGGTTTTAGCATTAAACTCCACTTGAATATCATTGGAAAGCAGTTCCTTTTCAAATGCACTGAGCCACTAAAATGAAAATAAACATTTCGTATATGGGGAAAGACTGCTGATAGGACCAGTATTTTCAGTTTATGTTTACAAATGACTGTTTCTCCATATCACTGAGATGAAGATCTGGTACCATGCATACAATTTTCTTGTTCCTGAATGCAAAAGCATTTCCCTGCACATTCCAGAAACAGGGAATTATGTAGATACAATAGACACCTTTGTTATTAGGAGTTGACATTTAATGGTTTCCGCTAGCAGAATAAGGGACAATTTGAGAATCAAGCAAAGCAAATGATGTTACTAAAGGTTGATATAGAGAAGGAAACAGTTTTTTCCCTGCCCTGTTAGGTTCAGCACCTGAAGGTTTTGAATGGAAAGATTTTCCATACTCTTAGATAGGTAGGATCAACATAGTAAAAATGACAATTTTATTAAAAACAATCTAGAGATTCAATGTAATCCCCCCCAAAATCCCAGCACAGCTCTTCACAGGCTTTAAAAGAATACTCAAGTACATATGGGAAAACAAAAACCCAGGATAGTCAAAACATATTTTGTAGAATAAACGAACTTCCAGAGGCATCACCATCCCTGACTTCAAGCTCTACTATAGTAATGAAAACAGCTTGGTACTGGCACAAAAACAGACAGGTGAACCAATAGAATCAAATAGAAGACCCTGATATCCTGATATTAACCCATACGCCTATGAACACCTTATTTTTGACAAAGGAGCTAAAATCATACAATGGACAAAGGAAAGCTTCTCCAGAAAATGGTGCTGGCATAACTGGATGTTGACATGTAGAAGAATGCAAATAGACCAATATTTATGCCCATGCATAAAACTCAAGTCCAAGTGGATCAAAGACCTCAACATAAATGCAGCTACCCTGAACCTCACAGAAGAGAAAGTGGGAAGTAGCCTTGAAACCATGGGTACAGGAGACCACTTCCTAAATATAACATCAGTAGCACAAACACTGAGATTGACAATTAATAAATGGGACCTTCTGAAATTGAGAAGCTTATGTAAAGCAAAGGACACAATCAATAAAACAAAACAGTAGCCTACAGAATAAGAAAAGATCTTCACCAACCCCACAACTGACAAAGGGCTGATCTCCAAAATATATGAAGAACTCAAGAAACTAGACATCAAAAGAACAAATAACCCAATAAAAAAAAAAAGATGGGGTATAGATATAAACAGAGAATTCTCTACAAGTTGTCAAATGGCCAAAAGGCACTTAAGAAATTGCTCAACATCCTTAGCCATTAGGAAAATGCAGATCAACCAACTCTGAGATACCATCTTACACCTGTCAGAATGACTAAGATCAAAAAGCGGATGGCAGCTTGTGCTGAAAAGGATGTGGAGTAAGCGGAACACTCCTCCATTGCTGGTGGGAGTGTAAGCTTGTGCAGTCACTTTGGAAATCAGTATGGAGGCTTCTCAGAAAATTTGGAAACAACTCCTTCAAGACCCAGCAATGCCACTCTTGGAAATAAATACTCTTAGACTGAAAAGATGCACACCCATATCACAAGGACATTTGCTCATGTTCATAGCAGCATTATTTGCAATAGCCAGAGCCTGGTAACAGCCTATGCCATCAAAGAATGAATAAAGAAAATGTGGTCCATTTACACAATGGAATACTACTCAGTGGTAAAAGAAACAATGACACGTTAAAATTTGCAGGCAAATGGATGGAACTAGAAAAATAAATTCTGAGTGAGATAACCCAGACCCAGAAAGACAAACAAGATATGTACTTACTCATAAGTGAATATTAAACATAAAGCAAAGGATAACCAGCCTACAGTCAAAAACCCCAGAGAAGCCATGAAACAAGGAAAACCCTAAGAGAGACATACATGGTCATCCTGGGAAGCAGAAATAGGCAATGTCTCCTGAGTAAATTAGGTGTGAGTGGAGGGGGAGAGAGGAGGAAAGGAGATGGGAAAGGCAAATATGAGAGATCAGAAAGGTCAGGCTGGGGCAAAGGTCAGAGAGGGAGAGCAAAGAAAGAGATATTTGGATAGAGGGAGCCATTATGTAGTTAGTGAGAAACCTGACACTGAGAAAAGTTCCAGGAATTCACAAAGATGACCCCAGATAAAGATCTAAGGAATAGTGAAGAGGGTGCTTGAACTGTCCCTCCCCTGTAATCAGATTGATGACTATTTTATAATTGTCATCATAGAGCTTCCATCCAGTAACTGATGGAAGCAGATGCAGAGATCCATAGCTAACTAAGCACTGAGTCGAACTCCTGGAGTCCAGCTGTAGAGAGGGAGGAAAAATAATATGAGCAAAAGGGTCAAGACCATTATGGTGAAACCCACAGAAACAACTGACCCAAGCTAATGGGAGCTCACCGACTCCAGACTGACAGCTGGGGAACCTGCATAGGACCAAAACAGGCCCTCTGAATGTGGGTGGCAGTTGTGTGGCTGGGCAGTTTGTGGGGCCACTGACAGTGGAACCAGTATTTATTCATGCATGAACTGGCTTTTTAGAGCCTATTTCCTGTGGAAGGATACCTTTCTCACCTTAGATACAGGGGAGTGGGCTTTGGTCCTGCCTCAATTGATGTGACAGTTTTTGTTGACTCCCCATGGGAGGTCTTTTTGAGGAGTGAATGGGAGGTAGGAAGGGGCAAAGGGGCGAGGGGGAAAGGGATGGAGAAGAAACTGGGCTTGGTATGTAAAAAAATATTGTTTTATAAAATAAAATAAAAAATATTATCAACTCTTACATACTATGCATAACTGTAAAAAAAGAAAGGCAAACTTCACAGTTAAAGGGGAAGAAAAATGGCACTTGAGAGATACAAAACGAACGTGTTTAGAAAATTTGAGAGTTCAAGAAGACAGACAGGAGATAGTAAGTGCATGGTAGTGTTTATCTACATAACTACAAGTGGTTGCTACATTTTCTCTGGGGCTGTAAACCTCCCTGGAAAGGAGATCTGGAGTAAGTTTGCATGTTTTACTTGCTATATTAGCTCAAGATAGAAGAGTAATTTATGACAGATAAGTAACCAATTTGAGTTTGGAGTTGTCTCCACAGTTACAGCCTATCAAGGAAGACATGAATGCATGAGTAATTGTTAAATTACCAAAACTGAGATAAGAGAATACCTTGACCAGTGGAGAAAAGGCATCTCAGGAATGGAACATGACAACATTAAAATATTATCTTATTGTTATTATCAGTGTAGGGTTATTAATATTACTAGATAAATTAATGGGAATGAAAGAAAATTTATGTACTTTCAAAAATACTCCCCAAGACATTTCTAAGTGCACAGAGAAGAAACTAGAGGGCCTCATGATAATGTGTGATAGAAACTCTCCAAATTCTAACTCCTGGTTTAGAATGGTACTGAAGAGTGTCATGTCAGTCTTGGACTTGCTGTCTCAAACATAGTGCTTGAATCTGTTCTTGGGGAAATAATATATCAAAAAATTAAGGGGCATTTGCAAAACGACTGCCCTGTATTCTTAAAGAACAGTATTATTAAAAGAGCATAAACAAAAAGGGCTAGTCTAAGATAAAAGGAACTAAAGACATGAAGTAACTGAATACATCCCCTGGCCTGGATTTTCTTTAGCTGTAAAGTTTATTACTTTGAATAATAGCATAATCTGAAGAAGTTTTCTAGATAGTTCCTTTATGCATTGGCTTCCTGATGTTGACAAACAAAACATCATAGCATTGCTCTGACAGCAGCGCAGATTTTGGTAGCTTGAATAGACTTGCATAAAAGAATTTCTGTACAGTTTAAGTAGTTCTAAAACATATTTAGTGGTAGAGATTAAAGTGAGGTCTTACTGAGAGAGAAAAAAACTCCTGTGAATTTCATGGCATATTCATGATCAAGAGTCTCCAGATGACACATCTCATGGCTGGACTATGTATTTAGAAGCTTGTCCAACCAGCACTCATTTTCTTGCAAACCAATTCCTTACAATTCTCCTTTCCTTCCTTCCTTCCTTCCTTCCTTTCACCCATCCCATCCCATCTGTCATCTGTATGTATTATGTTTGAACATGAAATGCACCCCACCCACCTCCAGGGCTCATGAGTTTAACAATTAGTCCCTAGCTAGTGACACTGTTTGGGGAGCTCTTATAGACTCTCTGTAACTGTGGCTTAACTTGAAGAAATCATTTTCGGGGAGGAGGGTCAGTTTTTGAAGTTGTCCTTATTTCCTGACAAGCCTCACTGTACTGCATGTTCCCACCCCCAGAGGAAGGTCCCCACCAGCTTCCATAACAGACTATTCTTTTTCAAATCATGAGCCAAAATAAACCTTTTCTTTGTTTGGGCTGGTATTTAGGTTTCAATGAGAAAAAGTAGCTAGTATCCATTCATTCATCTACCCATCCACCCACCCACCAATCCATCCATCCCTCCATCCACCCACCCACCAATCCATCCATCCCTCCATCCACCCACCTATCCATCCATTCATCCATCCACCCACCCACCAATCCATCCATCCCTCCATCCACCCACCTATCCATCCATCCATCCATCCATCCATCCATCCATCCACTCACCCACAGTCTATTCTACTGCTCCAATACCCTTGTCAAGCTCTATGTTTAAATCCCTCTACAAACTTTCATGGGCATCACTTTTATGCTAGGCTATTTCCATGATTTTTTTTATTAGTTCTCAATTATGAATTTTTAAAATACATCCTTATTCTTTGATTCTCTCCAAACATATTAATGAAATATGGTATCTCTAGTCATTCTCATATAGCTTTATAGTCTATAGAAATTTTGCTCAAATTATCAGCTATTACATGAAGACCATTTGGATGGTCCTTTCAAAATCATTATTGCTTGTTTTGTTTTTGTTTGTGATATGGTTCTGGCCTCACATTAGAACTATTTTTAATAAACATAATAGATCATATCTGGTAAACTATTGACAATATTTATAACTTCTATGTGGCCTATTGCACTCTTAATGAATGTTGGGCATTTATATGGAAATCCTGCCATTCACTGCAATATGAGAGAGATGTATAATACAACTCAGGATATTTGTGGCTATTACAGCAAAAACTGATCTTTAGTAACAAATTTTTAGTGGGTCGAATGCCTCGGCTTTTCTGGAAATACGTACTTTCTCCAAACTGTGGACTCTGGGCCACAAAGCACTAACCCCAGGAGGTAACTGTTGTGACTTAGAACTTCAAGGACGCCTCCATCGCTTGAGCTTTCTCCTTGATGTTCTTCTGGAAAGGCATCATGAAGTCTTCGAAGTCGACCTCATATGTGAATCTCTCCCTTCGCAGTTCCCTCTTCCTGATCAGCTCTGCTGTGGTGGCTTCAGGACTCCAAATCTGAAATAAACAGCCCAAGCCAAGGGAGTTGTTATGTGATTTTCACTTACACATATTTTTAGTTAAGCATATGCTAGGCACACACTCTTATCAATCTGCTACCCTCAGCCTAGGGAGACTTCCCACAGTTTCAACCTGTAACTATCAAATACACACCTAAAGCACACTTTACTGTTTACTCTTTCTTATGACCTTACTGTCCATGTGAACACCACTGTTTCTGATGAGAGCCATCTAGGAACAGAGATCAGAAATGCTCTTCAGTTCCTTCTCTAGTCATCTCTGGGCCAACTGCTGCTTAGTTCCATTATATCAGAATATGAGATGAAAGGAATTGGGAATCCTTTGTGTCTAATGTAGAAGTCAGATTGTTTTCATAGCAGAAGGCAAAAATTGCTACTTATTCAGTGTGGCTAGGTGGGCACGGGAAAGATAATTCATTCCCCCAGAGATGTCTCTACTTGTTTAAGGGCAGATATTTTAGAAGATTAGTGAGTTTTTTTCAGCCTTGGTAGTCTGAAATTTCCAAGTAAGAACTGGTAGGGAGTATGGTCTGAATTTACAACACCAAGAGCTTCTAGAATCTAACTGAACGGCTATAAGGAATGCCATTGGCTAAAATAGACACCAGTCTTTTAAGGAAAATTAAATATTACTATGGAAATATTAACAACTGGAACCAGATACTGGGAATTAAGAGTTGGCCTCATTGAGATGAATGTGGTAGAACCTGACAAAAGGACCTCCTCAATAGTAATTGTGGAAAATGAATGCGGGCATCTGTTCAGATGATCTGTAGAGCCAGCATGTGAAAAATGACATTATGAACTCTGCTATGTTATAGAAGCATTCACAGAAAATACTTACCCTATGTGGGATAAATGTGATATCGACCTTCTTCGTGAAACCACTGGTAATCAGTGAATTGAGGTAGACCACATTATCCTTGTGTACTTTCTTTTCCTCTATTATTGTTGGTACAGCATAAATTGATGACAGTGTTTCCTGCAAAAAGTTTTTGTAAGAGTATAAATTGCTAAAATCAAACATTCATTAATATCCCTTTGTCTACATTTTACTTTGAAGTTTGGAAAGAAGGAAAATGCTAAAATTTGAGATAAGATAGAATATTATTATTAAGGCTATAACTTTGGATGTGAAGAGAAAATTAGCTTGCATTGCAGGGCGTCACTTTATTAGTCATATCAGGGACAAATAACATGAATTTTCAAGATGTATATCCCTGGTCTATGGCTATTCATATGATGGACTCCTACTAAAATGATAATGGTGTATGTGGTGGAGTTGGTGGAGACCTCATCACAGTGATTAGTCCATAACTAGAACTCTGTCCCCTCTGCCAAGATCCTTTCCCAACATCATCTCCTACTGCCTGTATTCCCCAGCATTTCCAATGTAATGGCATTAGGGCTTTCAAGTCTTGACTTTCATTGATGTTTCTGTTCCTCACAAGGAATTCAGTGAACCATCTGTTCCTGCAATGATGCTTAAAGCTTGGAAATGCACCTAGGACACCCTTACTAACAACAATGTCTTCATTGACCTCTCTATGTTTGGTCATATCACCAAATATGGAGAATTTGGGACCACGTAGATACAAGTTCAATACCAGTTTTTTCAATGTTCTAATCATTTGAGCAAATCATTTGTATGTTGTATGGATTCTGTTTACAATGGATACTTTTTAGAGTCTTCAGTAATAATTTTCTTGCTAGATATAGCTTTATAATTATTGCCCAAGATGTATAGAGCATGCTTTTTTTCCTTGTTGTGCAATAGCCTAACAAAATGCCACTGCCAGCCCAAGACATTAAGGATTTCCCCTTAGTATTTGGTAGTCAGCCTCTTTTTGTTTTACCTCATCTTTCTTGATGTCTGTGCCTTCGGTCTTCAGTTTAGGAAGCTTGCCTTTCATTTTTTGATTATCTGTCGGTTTAGGTAGGTTATCTATCTTTTCTTTTATCATATCAATTATTCTATAATCAGCATATGCCTTTGCAACATCCATAGCAACATGCCCTGTTTCAAACATAAAGATAAATTGAAAGTTATAATAATAAGCCAATTTAATGATAAACCACGTAGGAACAAATCAGCATGTTAGCATATGGCAGTTTGAGTTCACAAAGCATGATAGCTATTCTCCAGAGAGGAACTCACTACAAAATCCCAGTATAGCAAGAGCCATTTACTAGTACAATTTCTTTCTTAAATCCTTTAACAACATATATTAAAATGTAAGTAATAAATGTTATAATATTTTGAACATTAACTTTGTTTTTCCTTCCACCCCAACACACATCTTTTTGTGTGTGTGTTTTTTTAAATCATCTCTTTCTTTCTTACAAGGAGGTAAATTCCAAATGTCATGGGAAGCTGGTGCTCAAAAGTGCTCTAATCAGCTATTATTTTATCTCCAACACCACCAGGCTCGGCTGGTGCAGTACTATCTGTGATTCAAGGATAACTCGAAGAACGCTGTCTTACAGAGCCCAGTGAAGTACCATTTGAGAAAAAAGACCCCTACAAACAGTGCTGGACCATGCATGTCCTAGAGCTATGAAGGCCTGCCTCAAGTTAGAAATTTGTTCAACTTAAAGAGAATATCAAAGCTTACAGTCTCTAGATGACCAGTTTTTATGAAATGAGGGTTTTAGAAGTGACCTGAAAAAATGGTCTATGTTAAAAAACTAACAGGAAATTACTGCAGAAAAAGAATGTTTAGAAGTCCTTGGACAAAGTCAACACCCATAGACACAGTAACGTTAACAGGGAGAGGCAGGAGCCTTCAACCCTGCACAAAGAACTATAAGGATTCAGAGAGTGGGGAAAACAGTCTTCCCCAGGGAGGAGCACACTGACTGGCTATTCAACACCAAATGGTCAGCCCTGAAAACATATACATATAAGTAACATTAAACAGACGAGGCGGGTTTTATTTCTTTGATTAGGAGTGTGTGAATGTGTGTGGGGGAGTGTGCATGTGTATGTTTAGTAAAGAAAAAGGGTCGTGAATTTAAAAGAGAACACTGTTAAGAGAGTGGATGGGAGAGTTTAGAGGTAGAGAAAGAAAGGAGAAATGATGGTTTTAATTATATTATAATCTCAAAAATGCTTAAAAACAAAACTGTAAAAAACTTCAAATTTCTAATTTTGTTTTACTTCGCTGTAGCATCAGAGATAAACTTTTAAATGCACTGGAAGTGATAATTAATAATGACATTCCAGAGATCAAGGGGATACAAATCAGAAAAGAAGAAGTCAAACTCTCACTGTTTGCTGGCGATATAATAGTTTACATAAGCGATCTCAAAAATTCTACCAAGGAACTTCTACAACTCATAAACACTTTTAGTAATGTAGCAGGATACAAGATTAACTAAAAATATTCAGTAGCCCTCCTGTACACAGATGATAAAAGGGTTGGGAAAGAAATCAAAGAAACAATACCTTTCACAATAGTCACAAATAGCATAAAATATCAGAGAGTAACTCTAACCAAACAAGTGGAAGACTTGTATGACAAGAACTTTAAAGCTTTAAAGAAAGAAATTGAAGAAGACACCAGAAAGTGGAAAGATCTCCCATGCTCTTGGGTAAGCAGAATTAACATAGTAAAAATGGCAATCTTACCAAAAGCAATTGACAGATTCAATGCAATGCCCATCAAAATCCCAACAAAATTCTTCACAGACCTTGAAAGAACAATACTCAACTTCATATGGAAAAGCAAAAACCCCCAGGATAGCTGAAACAATCCTGTACAATAAAAGAACTTCTGGAGGCGTCACAATTCCTGACTTCAAACTCTACTACAGAGATACAGTACTGAAAACAGTCTGGTGTTGGCATAAGAACAGACAGGAGGACTAATGGAATTCAATAGAAGACCCAGATATTAATCTACACACCTTTGAACATCTGATTTCTGACAAAGAAGCAAAAAATACCAAATGAAAAAAAAGAAAGCATATTTAACAAATGGTACTGGCATAACTGGATATCAACATGTAGAAGAATGAAAATAGACCCATATTTGTCACCATGCACAACACTCAAGTCCAAATGGATCAAAGACCTCAACATAAAGCCAGCCACATGAACCTTATAGAAGAGAAAGTGGGAAGTACACTTGAATGCATTGGCACAGGAGACCACTTCCTAAATATAACCCCAGCAGCACAGACACTGAGAAAAACAATTAATAAATGGGATCTCCTGAAACTATAAAGCTTCTGTAAAGCAAAGGACATGGTCAACAAGACAAAACGACAGTCTACAGAATGGGAAAAGATCTTCACTAACCCCACATCGGAAAGAGGTCTGATTTCCAAATTATACCAAGAACTCAAGAAATTGGTCACCAAAAGAACACATAACCCAATAAAAAAATGGGGTACAGACCTAAACAGAGAACTCTCAATAAAGGAATCTAAAATTGCTGAAAGACACTTAAGGAAATGATCCACATCCTTAGTCATCAGAGAAATGCAAATCAAAACAACTCTGAGATTCCATCTTACACCTGTAAGAATTGCCAAGATCAAAAACACTTATGACAACTTAGCTGGAGTGGTTGTGGGGAAAAGGGAACACTTTTGCATTGCTGGTGGGAATTTAGGCTGGTACAACCCTTTTAGATGTCAGTGTGGCAATTTCTTGGAAAATTAGGAAACAACCTTCCTCAAGACCCAATAATACCACTTTTGGGTATACATTCAAAGGATGCTTAATCGTGTCACAAGGACATGTGCTCAGCTATGTTCATAGTAGCATTGTTTGTCATAGCCAGAACCTGGAAACAACCTAAATGCTCTCAACCAAAGAATGGATAAGGAAAATGTGGTACATTTGCACAATGGAGTACTACACAGCAGAAAAAAAACACGACATTTTGAATTTTGCAGGAAAATGGATGGAGCTAGAAAACATTATTCTGAGTGAGGTAATCCAGGCCTAGGAAGACAATTATCACATGTACTCACTCATAGGTTTCTTTTAAACATAAAGCAAAGAAAACCAGCCTACAAACCACAATCCCAGAGAATTTAAACAACAATGAGGACACTATGAGAGACTTACATGGATCTAATCTACATGGGAAGTATAAAAAGACAAGATCTCCTGAGTAAATTGGGAGCACAGGGACCTTAGGGGAGGGTGGAAGTGGGGAGGGGAGAGGCAGGGAGGGGAACAGAGAAAAATGTAGAGCTCAATAAAAATCAACAAAAATAATGATATTCTAAGTTTAATCAGTGTATATACAAATAATTTTATGTATGTTTAAACATGTGACTTATCAATATATTTCTGTAATTTTTGGTCCATATCCATTGTAACTAATGTATTCTTCAGTAATCATCCAATTGAAGCATACACCAAGGATTAAGAAAAAAGTACTTACTCTAATATAATAGAAAACTTTCTGTTATTTGGCCCTTAGGAATAAAAAGAACTTTGGGCTTATAGTTCATGGTTATTTTCACTTTACTACCCATTTTATTTAACTCTACTTAAAAAAAATATCAGCCCACAAGTATTGCAGGCCTTAGGAGTGTAGCCATTAAACCAATGATTTAAAAATTGTTAGGTAACAGACATGCTTCCCCGACATTTAACAAGGGCTTCTACAACAACAAAATCAACAACATTCGGAATCTAAAACCAATCCCCCTCCCCAGACATCAGGAACACAGCATACCTTTTCTGTTTTCAATCTGGAATTTAGCGCCAATATCAAGCAGGTATTTTACAGTGTCCAGTCTACAGCTTTCGATGGCTCTACTTAAAGGAGTGGAGTTGTTGATTGACAGAGCATCTATCGTAGCCCCAGATTTAACAAGTAGTTCAACAATGTCTTGCTGGCCAGCATGGCATGCGAAATGAAGTGGAGTCCACAGAAAATTATCTGTTGCATTAACATTCGCCCTGTATAATACGACAGATGCACTAATTAAGAATTTCAGTTATTCCAAACATTGGAACTTAAAAGAATCAAAGTAAAGAATTTCATGCAACTTTTCCCTCTTTAAAAATTATCAATTGGAAGAGGCCTGAGAAAAGTAAAACTGTGTAAATTTTCTTATGTTTTAATATGCCCCCAAATGCTTTTGTTTTGCATTATTTGGCAGCCTTAATTTATGTTTAATATATATATGTTTGTCTTAAAAAGTCACTTAGGTGGTGTTTTTGCAATGATTAAAATCAAGGGAAATTCTAAATTCATTGGAAATAAAGTTGAGCAAAGAGATAAAATTTGTATTAGTCTACTTTGCTTCTACTGTCTCTACATGATCTGAAGTTTAAATGAATGTTCATTATTTTAAAATCTAAGCACTATAATGTATTATTTAAAATTTTAGTCCTTATTAAAACTTCACTGCCCCAAAGTTATTTTTTAGTTACTCTGCCTTTTGATAATATGCAAATGAGTACCGTTGACATGAAACACCATAACAACATTAAATGTCTTTCTCATATATTTGCAATAATTGTGCTGATAAGAGCGTTGCATATTTTAATTCATTTAATCATCAATGATTTTAGAGCTGGTCCTTTTAGCGCTAATTGTAAACTTGGGGAAACCGGAGGGATTAAAGTGTTCAGAAACTTGCTTCCCGCAGTTTAATTGCCGCAGAAGCAGCAATTAAATGCCACAATGGTTGTAGTTTTAAGAGAGAAATGAAAAGACCACGCTTTAAAGGAACAATGAAGCAAGGCGAGTGTTGCTGTCTGGAGATGGATGAGGGGAAATGGAGAGGTAGGGCTATCCTGTCACCCTGACTGTTGTCTTTTGTCATTGGCAGCTGTTCTTCTTGTCTTTGCTGTGGTCCTCCGTAAAAGAAGAGGAAGATTAAGATGTGGCTCCACACCATCTCACCTTGCATAGGGCCCTAATGCAAAGCTGAGTTGTCCCATCCATAGTAAGAAGCAAGAGACCGCAGCTAGAGGACATTTCCAACCCAGAATGAAGAGTGTCTGCCCTCCCTTTGTGATCATCTTGATGGGTTACTGTCTTTGTGCACTCACAACCCCATGCGTCCCACCCCCTTGCCTGCATCCTCGTCAGGTCATTGGCTGTCCACTGCAGGGAAGGAAATGACAAAACCCAAAAACCTAAAGCATACCCCTTTTCAAGAAGAAACTTGACCACATCCATGTTGCCACTGGCACACGCTGTCATGAGCGGCGTCTTGTAAGAACTATCCTTCATATCCACAGGTATTCCTGCCTCGAAAGCCTTTTTCAGAGAGGCCAGGTCTCCTGCCTTGGTGATAAAATTAATATTTGCGAAGACCTTCCCCGGATCATCGATGTACCACTCGGAATCGTCCTGGATGGGGTGCTCAGGAGGGTGGTCCCGGTTGAACCTGCTGCTGTCGGTGACGTTCTGGTAGGCCTCAATCATGTAGTAGGGCGGGCCCCCGTCTGTCCGCCTCGGAAAGGCGTTCTCCGGGATGGTGCAGATCGGGAGAGGCAGAACAAATTTGCCTTTCTTTGGCTTTTTGCCCAAACCCTTTCTCTTTTTCTTAGGCCCGAAAGATCCCAAGACATAAGACTTACTTAAGTATTTGGTTCCCTTAAAGAACTCGTTAATGTTGACCCCGCCTCCCCGGCTTTTTTCGTGCATTTGCGCAATGGAAAGCAACTGCTCAGAGGTGGCAAAGTCTTGCCTCTCCTCCAGGGTCACCACAAAGTCCTCTTTGCTGACTACGCCATCGCCCCTGTCCACGAAGGCAAAGGCATCCCGAAGGAAAGCCTCGTGCTCCGCGGACCAGTCGTGCAGCCTGAGGGCCCAGAGTGGGTTAGGGTTTTTGACTCCAGGCTTTGCGAGCTTCGCTGCAGTCCTCTCTGCTCTGCGGATCTCCTTGCCTGCAGCTTTGAAGCCTCCATCTTTTGCCACAGCCCGGGGTGTTTTATGTTCCAAATTTTTCCATTTTAGGTCACATCCTAAAAAAGAAGCATCGTTGTTAAGAATGTGCTAAAGTTGTCTGCTTGCCCCCACAAAATGACACTCCCAACTATTTTCTTGAGTTCATGCAGTCAGATGTTGTGTCCTTAAAACTGATGTAGAAAGAACATATTTAGCCATTGTAATTACCAAAACAAACAACAATTTATTTTCCTGAGAGCCTCACTTGAGTGAATTCTGAGAGACAAGCTTACTGTATGTATCTGTTCATCTGTAGATAACTTAGGTAACAAATATCATCAAGTGGGGTATTTGTGGGGGAGATGATGCTAACAGGCAGAGGGAGAGTGTCCTGGAGCTCAGTAATAAGACTCGGGAGCCAAAAGCTTGCACAGGATTCCATCAGTTCAGAATACAGCAGGATGCCTGGTTCTTTATTTTATACAAAAGATTTTGCAATCTTAAATAAACAATATTTCACATTTTCTCCATTAATTGAAGGTAATTTATACTAATTGGCTGTTTTGTGGTAAGACCATGCAAACAACCTTAACAGATGAAGAACTAAATTGTTTAATCAAAGTTGAGCATTCCAGACTTGTGTTTGTATACAAGATAAATATTAAAATTTATTATTTTACCTTCTTGCTCAAAGTAATAAGATAAAAATTAAGAAGTCTGAGTATGTGTAACTATATCAAGGAATCTGTTTATTGCTACCAAGAAGGCTGTAATATTTTTTAATATCTCAAGAATGAGATATTAAAAATCCATTACATAAATAAGTCAATCCATGAAAATATTGTTTTTTTTTAATCTAGAGGCAGACTAGGCAGCTGTTTTGCCAATATGATATAATAAAAGCATACAGGTCACTCTGTGTATCCTTATTTCTTATTTCTAATAAGAATCCTTATTTCTTAGCAAAAAGAAAGATGCCAAAGATGCTAGCCTTGTCAGAACTCAGGGTTCCAGGCATTCTCCACCTTTTATGTATTAGAAGAGAAGAGAGATGACACCTAGAAATCTAAGCAACCCTCTTTCCCCAAAACAGGGAAGGAAAAAAGGAGAAAACTATCAGCAATAGTTTTTAGTTAATTCTTTACTAAAATTGTCAAAAATATATATTTATACTGAAGCGAATAAACTTAATAGCAATAGGAAACCTCAGGGAGGTATGTGACAATGGAGGTTCGGACAGTTTTACACTGGACAGTTAAGAACAGTCATTTCCTGGGAGGGTGGCTGGGACAGTCCCAGGAGAAACACCACAGCGCGGGCGTGCTATAGACACGCTCCTGCATTCACCTGACTATCTTCCTTCGCATTCACCCCAGAAATGAGGCTGAAGAGATTTTAAACACACCGTAGCTTGCCCCTCTTTTGAAAACCTTTTAGTGGCTAAAGGACCAGCAGTCCCTCTGATCTTGTTTGAACTTCCAAATATTCCACAGATCTCAGGGCATTTTCAGACATTCAATTTAAAAATACATCCTCGGATTCGTCCAGGAAGTTGGATTGTTTCTCCCCTCATGGGGTCAGGCCTTCATTCTTAGCTCTGGCCCTTTGCTCCTCAGGGTTGCGTCCCAGTATTGCATCCCAAGATACATGATCAGTGGAGTGCATGTATGGTGACATGTCACAGAAGGAAATCATTCAACATATTAAAGGTGATTAAGATTGACTCGTTCTTGAAAAATCACTAATGTTTAGAAATCTGCATGGTTACAACTGAAATGCCAGAATAAAATCCTGACAGTGGCAGATTTAAAAATGAAACTAGACAGGTTTGGGCAAGAACTGCATGGGGAGTTTTCCCCGCTAAACAGCTTATTATTGGGAGAAATTATGGGCTCACAAAAGCAAAACCGGGTCCACTATGTTGTTAATCATATAAGTGAAGGACTAAAATTTAGTTGTGGAGGAATGAAAAAGAAAAAAAACTGTATTAATATACAGCTGTATGAAATTTTTCTGTTTTTCGTAAACTAGAAAAAACATAAAATTCAACTGAGTGCAAATCCGTCTCTACTGGAATTAAGCTTTAGATGTACACTCAGTTAGTGGGAAACTGACAAGGAGTGCATCTATGTTCAACCAACTAGTCAGTATTTCACGGAAAGGGGTTTTCTAAGCATAGTGTGCACTCGATCACCTGTTCTCTAGCTTTGAGAAAATCTAAATGTTGAGTGTTGTTTACACTGAAAAGAGTCCATAAATGTTTTCATTTTATTTTCTTTCCCAGAAAGTATTTCCATTATAACTACAATTTACCCAGAAATGTTATTTTAGTTTGACATGCATTTTAAAAACCGATTGAAATTTCAAATAAAATAAAATTAGTTTCAATGTCTTTCTTTCTTGAGATTGATGTTGGGACTCTTAAAATATGAATATTAATCAACTATAAGCATGTTAATATTTAATTAACACATGACAATCAAATCCCTTTGGATTTGGGTTTAATTCCTCGAATTTAGTACTATAGTCATAATTCAGTGGGCAAGTGTGTGAGAAAAAACATTCTACTTTCATCCTACATAGGGTGAGGATTGCTGGGGACTGAAAATTAAGTAGAGAGTAAGTGAGAGCGCTGAATTCTCTAGTCATTTATGAGCTACCAGGCAGTTTTACCTCGCTGAGCTACGTATTTACAGCAGTCTGCAAAGCCACCCATCGCAGCATAATGAAGTGGTGTATTCCCGTTCATTGCAATCAGCCCCATGTCTCCATTGTAGGCAAAGAGAAGCTTCAATATCTGCACAATAAAAAGGGAGTGGAAAAAATAAGAATGCTCATTACTACGAAAAGATTGGCAGTCAGATCTCTGCTGTCCAATCTATTGTCTATTACCACATGTGGCTGCTGAAAATTCCAACTGAAATGAAATTTTAAAGTTCAATTCTTTAGTCTTCTTAGACACATTTAAACTGCTCAAAGGCCATATATAGGCTAAATGTGCTGCTGAAATAGAGAGGGTTTTCATCATTGCCCAAAGTTCTATCAAACAGCCTTGTCACAGATAACAGAAATAGCCAGGCATCAGTGGCCATCCGAGGGATAATGCAGCATTGTTCTGGGTGGCAGGGATTTTAAGTGTCATAGTCAGTTACACAGGGAAGTAATACTAGTACTATTCAGTGAGTAAGTTAGCAAATATATGCAGAAAAGTTAGTAAATGCATAAAATTACAAAGAACTAGGATATGCAGTCAGACTAAATTTTTATATTTGGAAAAATGAAGATAAAGCAACAGAAACATCTTAGAAAACATACCCGCCTTAGTGTAACCTACATGAAACAAAGAGAGTGGGAGAAAAGAAAGAAGTCTTTAACAGTCAAATTTAAAGCAAAAAACAATCATTACATCAAAAAAGCCTCCTTTGGCAGCAAAATGCGCAGCGTGGTGTCTATCATTGTCAAATGCATTCACTTCACCTCCTCTTTCCAATATGCCTCGAACTATTTCCAGCACCCCTTCTCTTGATGCTTCCATCAGAGCAGTGCGCCCTGTAGACTGGACATGAAACAGATCAAATGATGTTGATATTTTTATGCATGAACCATACTCAACACAAACTTGGGTTCAGTTTACTGGGTCTTGGCTTTATGCGAAGAAGTTTAATGGTCTATATTTTTATTGGTTTCACCTATAAAGGAGGAAGCATCCAGTCAGCACTGTGTGTGACTGTCTGAAAAGGAATCTGAAAGCCAGAGTCAAGGTTGCTCTGCATATCCCAGTAAGAATGTCATGAAATCAAAGCATATTTATTTATACATAGAAAACAGAGTATAAAAAGAAGGGGGCAGCATGTTAAAACTTGGAAGCATTTGTTTTCTAATGAGAAAAAAAATCCATTTTTGAATGTCTGGAAATGATAATTACAAAACCTAAAAGCCCAAATTAGCCAGTTCAGGAGAGGAATCAATACATAAGAGGCAAAAAAATTCTCTTTCTATGGAGATAGATTTTATTGGGTACCTATGATATCCTTTCTGTTTGCTATAGTGATATTCTGACAATATGAATAATTGGGATCAATTTCCAAACACAATCAGAAAAGAAAGTATAGAATGATAGCGATGTAAAGACAAAGTATATCATCTTCAGGACTTTGTGTGGAGATGAACAAGCTAACGGGACAATTTTTACCATGTCTCCCTTTCATCACCCGATCCCTGCCTTTTCCTTATTTATTTGTTTGGAAATAGAGTCTCAGTATGTATAGGACTGGCATAGTATGTGTAGACCAAGCTGGCCTTGAACTCACAGAGCTCTGCCTGCCTCTGCCTCTCAAGTGCTAGAACTAAAGGCAGGTGCCACTATGCCGGGCCCCAAGTTTGCCATGATTAAGTATGAAACAAAAATGCCACCACCACAAACACCCCCAACCACGTGACTGTGTAATAAAGTAGAATAAAGAAATATTAATCACAGGGATAGTCATACTGAGTTGATAGCATTAGGATTGGCTCCTTTCTCCAAGAATGTCAGGCACATATCCTTCACATCATGCGCTTGTTCACAAGCTTTGAGGAAAACTGGCTTTCCTTCGTAGGTGAGGTTGTTGACATCTGCACCGTGTTCCAAGGCAATCAGCGCACAGCGATAATGCCGCTTGGTGGGTAAAATGCAGTAAAACAAAACACCTGTGGAAAAACAGTTCCACCGTGAGAATTCCTTGTTCAGTGCCAAGTTGCCAGCTCTGAAAACATACATACATGTGACATTGTATGGACTCCACAGATTATATTTAGTAATGCATATTTGTACACATACATATATATAAATCCATATATGCATACATTAATAATTTATAAATAAAAGAAGAGGCCATAAATTTGAAGCAGAGTGGGGGAATGATATATGGGAGGGTTTGAAGGCAGAAACAGGAAGAGAGAAACATTATAATTAAATTAAACTAAAATCTTAAAAAAAGGAAAAATTAAAAATTTCTCTCTATATATTAATCTACATATATTTAAATCTGTAATATTTGAATACATGCACAAATGTATGTATGTATGTATGTATGTATATATGTATGTGAGCCGGAAATTCCTTGGGTATTCTGAATTCCATTTGAATCCATACTTATCATAGCCGTAAGAAAAACCAAAGCTGCTCTGCCCATCATGGTAATCACTTTGCTCCACCCAAAAGAGGAAAATTCTAAATCTTCACACTTGGGCCCTATAACACACCCTATATAAACATACTACATTCAAAAAGTGTACTATACACAAGATAGTGTTACAATCCTAACAGAGTGGTGGTAAGCAAGTAGGAGGTAAATAAATGTTCGACTCCATACTGACTTTGTCATGAGTTCACCTCCAAAAGGAGCTTTATTCAAAAATGAACAACAGCCCCAAGGAAAAAGGTATATGGCCTATGAAAAAGACACCTATAAAAAAGAAAGATAGGGAAATGGATAATAAAAGTAGGTAAAAGAACATTATTTAAAAACCAATTTATGAAAATGATTGGCTAGCCTGTTTTTATATTAGCAAAGAAACTAAAATGCATTCAATAATAAAAACGCGAAGACAGACATACCAAAAAGGACCGAAGAGACTGGAAGACAGAAAGACAAGATTGAGACAGCAGGACTCAAGGAACGATATTAAAGAGTGAAAGTCACATTAGAAGCAGTAAAAGGATCTTCATCTGTTCAACTATGTTCATAGCAGCATTATTTATAATAGCCAGAACCTGGAAACAATCTAGATGCCTCTCAACTAAGAATGAATAAAGAAAATGTGGTACATTTACACAATAGAGTACTACTCAGCAGTAAAAAAAAAATAACATCTTGAATTTTGCATGCAAATGGATGGAAATAGAAAACACTATTTTGAGTGAAGTAACCCAGACCCAAAAAAATGAATATGGTATGCACTCACTCATAAGTGGATACTAGCTCTAAACAAAGGACATTGAGCCTATAGTTCATGATCCTAGAGAAGCTAAGTAATAAAGTAAACCCAAAGAAAAACATATATAGACACACCTGGAAATTGGAAACTGACAAGACTTCCTAACATAATTGGGAGCATGGGGCCTGAGGTAGAAGGTAGGGGAAAAAGGAAAGAGGCCGGTAGAAGGGGATGATTGAGGAGAACTTGAGGGAATGGGATAGTTGAGATGGGGGAAGGACAGATATAAGAGCAAGGAAAGAGATACCTTGATTGAAGGAGCCATTCTAGGATTAGTAAGAAACCGGGCTCTAGAAAAATTCCTAGGAATCCACAAGGATGACCACAACTAAGACCCTAAGAAATAGAGGAAAGGGTGCCTGAACTGTCCTTGCCCTGTAGTCAGACTGATGATTATCTTAAATATCACCATAGAACCTTTGTCACACCACAGATGGAAACAGAGGCAGAGACCCACATCAGAGCACTGGACTGAGCTCCCAAGGTCCAGTTGAAGATTAGAAGGAATGAGAATATGAGCAAAGAGGTCAAGACCATAAATGGTTCATCCACTGAAACAGTTTACCTGAGCTAATGGGAGCTCACAACTCCAGCTGGACTGGGAAGGAACAAGCATAGGACCAAACAAGGCCCTCTGACAGTTGTATGGCTGGGGTAGCCTGAGGGGCCACTGAGAGGGGCACTGGGATTTATCTCTCCTGCATATATTGGCTTTTTGGGATCCTGTTCTCTTTGGATGCATACCTTGCTCAGCCTAGATGTAGTAGGGACGGCCTTGGACTTTCCACAAAGCAATGTGCCTTACCCTCTCAGGATTGGAGGTGGGTGGGGTGGGAGGGTGTGTGTAGGGAATTGGAGGAGAGGAGGGAGTGGGAATTTGGATTGTTTTTTTTTTTTAAAAAAAATCTAATTAAAAAAAAAAGGAAAAAAAGAAGTGGGAAAAGAGAGAGCAGAGCCTGCCCTAACTGTGGTCAAAGGCAGAGGAAAGTCACTAAACTGTAAGAGGTAACAAAAAGAGAAGCAAAGATGATCTGACATGTAGTTTAATAACAAAAGACAACACGTCAGGAAAATCATTGTGCTACAATGACAATTTTGTGAATGAAAAATCTGAATCCAAAGATGAGAAAGGAACACCAAACTTCAGGGAAATTTGCTTAAGAACAATAAACATGAGGTAAATCCAGGTGAAGGAAGTGTCTTGTGGGAAAAAACTCAACACCTGTCTAATGTGCAGCCAGGCTATTTCCAGAAGTTTCTATGGCGACATCTTAAGCAAGGTCATCTTTTTAAAAGGGACTCTACAATGTCACAGAAAAAGAAAACAAATAATTTCTATCTAGTCAAGCTGCTGATTATATCCCAAACCAGCACTTACACACACATGACTAAGGATATAAGACATCAGTGAGAGAAAGCCAAATGAGTGGGCTAAAGGACCTCATATAAAATCCGAGTCTACAGATGGGCCAGCAGTGTGCTCAAGAGCCTCTGCTGTCTCTTCAGTCACAGAACTACAGCTAAGTGGCTGGAGGAGTTCTAGGTAGACACAGACCGTTTGGTTATAATGTGGAGATTATGTAACAAAAATTTGGAAGAGGGAACAGTACATAGCATAAGAATATGATACTTTTCCATCTTCTGCTGGAAATCAAGATACTTAAAGAATCTAACGAGATAAAAGAAACAACGAAGTATTAATGGAGAGGATGAAGGGATTCACTGGAGAGCTAAGTGATTATAACATAAGACTGAGTGGCGGGAGGTTCCTGTACCATCATGATTCTTCACAAATAGAATCAATGGATCCTGCTGGAGATGGTAACAGTTTCATGTGTGCAGAAAGCTATCAACTTAGCCATTAAGTAAAGTAAAAACCTATGTTTTATAAAAATAAAGAAAAAACCTAGAATATGAAACAACACATAGAACACATGGATACTGTATATGCACACACACACACACACACACACATTGTAACTTCATAATATAAAATGACAGTTCCAAAATCAACTTAGACATTAAGTAAAGTAAAAACCTATGTTTTATAAAAATAAAGAAAAAACCTAGAATATGAAACAACACATAGAACACATGGATACTGTATATGCACACACACACACACACACACATTGTAACTTCATAATATAAAATGACAGTTCCAAAATGTAATTTATGGGTACTAAGACACATACAGGGTAGATAAAATTACACTATTAAAAGTGAAGTTACATATACAATAAAACCCTAAATATACTTTATATAAGAAGAGACACCTAAAATGGGATTACTCAGAAATTTGAAAAAATATGGGCTAAAAGCAAAGTTCAAAGATGAAGCACTTGTCTAACTACTCAAGATCCTGGGTTTTATCCCCAGACTACAGAAGAACTGAGAAGGAAGGAATACAGGAACGCGAAGGGAGTAGATATCTGGATGCTGAGGCAGTCAAAGACAGTTAATAATAGAAAAATCAGTTTTCTGATATATACAAAAATATACAGAAAGTAAGACCTGAAAGCCAGAGAGTCAAGGAGCTTGCTGTAATATTGTGTCTCCTAGTAATAGCGGCTACACCCATAAAGTCTCACCAATGTGACTCTCCAAACATGAGCAGAACTTGGAAAACACCAATGGACATGCCAAAGAGGATGGGGAAAAGCCCACTAGGCTTAAACCCTGCAAAAAGAAATACCGGTAACTGTGGAAAACTGCAAGCAAGAGTGATGATCCTCGCCAGGAAGTGCACACCAATTGGTGATCTGCCTGAACTGTTGACTGGACTTGCAGGACCCACAGAGAAATGACTGTTGAAGCTGCCCAAAAGAGGTGAGACAGTCCTTCAGGGTTCCTGCTGCATGAAAGAGTCTGCCAGATGTTCTGCAGGACACAGAAGAAAGCAAATGATGAATTTTGCCAATGCAAGGCATAAGAGATCTTCAAATTTCCTGCTTCATGGAAAAGTCTGCTGAATACTATGGGCCAATAAGAAGCTGGAGCTAATAGGCCAAGCAGTGTTGTAATTAATATAATTTCTGAGTGGTTATTTCAGATCTGGGTGGCCAGGAGATAAATGAGCAGCCTCCCCCGACACAGTGTCAAATGATTAGCCCTTAAAACATGCATACAAGTAACATATGAACTGAACAAATTATATTTAAGAATACATGCATGCACTAGCAACTAGTGAAGAAAGAGGTCATGAGTTTGAAGAAGAGCAGGAATGGATATACAGGATGGTCTGGGGGAGGAAAGGGAATGGAGAAATGCTGTAAATACACTGTAATCTCAAAAAGAAATATAACTTAAAAAGGAAGAGCTGACCAAAGCAACATAATAGAGAACCAAACCAAATCAAACTCTGAATTTAATACTAGACTTAAATTTATTGCAAGGCCCTGAGGTGCTTGTTAAGGGAATAGTTTGCAATGATGGGTTTTGTAACTCGGAGCTCAAAGCCTACAGCCTATGTCATATCATTTTAATGGCCCATTTAAATATTCTGTTTTCTTGTTCTGTAGAAATAGCATGTAGTCAGTCAAACTTCAAGAACCAGGAAGCAGGATGTCAATGTCAGAGATTATCCTGGAATAAAAAAAGAGGTGCCCTCCCAGCTGAGGGTGGGCAAGCCAAAAAAGGTTCCCAAAGAAGGCAAAGACAGGGGTCTTGGGTTAAACTTACAAGGTTATGTGTAAAAGACACATTACATTTATTTTAATTCATGTTTTGTTTCTTCCCATGTGACTTATTGTTTTTCCAAATATGTTCATATTTCCCAGTACTTTATTAACTTAATACAAATATGAATGAACATAAATATTATCCATATGGCTGTTGCATTTGCTGTAAATATTTATTTGACCTTGCTCCCAATTTTACTTCACATTTTTAGATTTTTATGCTATATATCTCATTCTGATATATTCTGTCTGACTTCTATATCTAGGTTCCAAATTAAGAAAAAAACTTTTCTTCATTACAGTGTTTTTCAACGTTTATTCTACACAACTTAAACTGTGTTTGAGTCACGTAGAATGACTCCTTCATTGTCAAATAGACACACAAAATTGTTTTGACTTTGACCCAGCAGGAATAAAGGAGGAGGCCTCCCTCAATTTGTTTTATTCAATGGTTATCTCATGGATTCAGCAGTAGGATCAATTTTACATGTGCCACTTTTAACATACCAATGATTCCATAGGTTATGAAAGGCCCCTCAGAAAATGGCATTCAACGAAGCATTGGGGTGAGTGGGCTCTCACTGTGTAGCCCTGGCTCAACTGACGCTCACTATGTAGACCTGGCTGACTTGAAGCTCACTCTATAGAGCAGGTTGACCTCAAACTGCTATGATCCTTTTGCCTCTGCTTTCACGTTGTTGGGATTTTAGGCAGTGGGCCACCATGTTCAACTATTCTATGAAGCCTGAACAGCTGTGTTTTCAGTCTTTAAAAATTTAAACTGTATTTGACCTCTCAATGTATCTGAAGTTTATTTTGCTATGTGGTCCTAGAGCAAGTCATATATCAAATATCAAGTTGGCGGTGAGTTAGGAAATAAGTTTTCCTCCTGTCAGAAAATATTAACAATGTAAAATGGGATTCATTTTTTCAGTGCAGATCAGTGTCAATGAGTTTGTAGTTGTGGCAATCCTCTGGGACAATTGATTCAATCTACCATTTTATATTGAGTCTGTTTGTAATTATCTTGTTAATTTTCATGAGGCTGGTTCAACTATGACCTGAATCTCAATTAACTAAAAATCCCCAGATCAAGTCTTTGAGACAGATACTGTGGGATTACACATGCAATAATTCTCAACAGCCATGTGTAGTATTTCAAGTTATATTTCCAAGTTGTTAAAAACTGACATTACAATTGGAATGTAAGCAAAATCTACCATAGATTTTTTAGGATATCAAATGCAGTCCCTTCTATACTAACCTGGGAACCAGACAAGACAAAAATCTACCTAAAATCCTAATTCTAACACAATCATGGTCTAAAATGTAAGGAATGAGTCCATCTAAATAAGATTTTACCCTTCACTAAAGGTGATTAAAATACTAGTTGCACGTATAATGCTCAAAGAATCTACTAAGCCAGTCCTGAGGTCCCTACCTCTAATCTCATTATCTGAGAGCTTCAAGCAAGATGATAAAATTCAAGGTTAGCCTGAGCTGAGACCCAGTCTCAAAAGTTAAACAAAAAAAGAGTAACAAAAGGAACCATCAAATATAGTTCTATCTAGCTGTTTTTAAATGAGTGGCTTTCAGAACATGTTTCCCTATGATATTCCTATGGTGTTGCATGTTCTGAGGAAGTTCTATCTTTCAGCACAGCAATGGGTACTGAGTCTTTTCCTTGAGATCTTATTTCCCTTCTAAGGCCAGGAGATGGGAAAGTCTCTTTCTTGCTTTCTGACTACAAAGTGAGCGCGTCTGTTGATTAGAACGCTGAAGTCTTACCTTTGCCTTCATTATCAACGATCGTCATGTCAGCTTTGGCTTTGGCTAAAATTTCCATGGACAACTCATGGCCCAGCTCCGCAGCCCTCATGGTCGGAGTGCAGCCCATGTGGTCTTGCACATCAGGGTGAGCACCAAGTCCAAGGAGAAAGCTAACCATGTCAAGGTCATTGGAAACCGAGGCTAAGTGGAGAGCACTCAGTCCATCAACAGGTTCAGTGAAGTTGATCAGCTCAGGGTATCCAAGTTTGGTCAGCTTCTCTATCTGCTTCTTGTCTTTGTTGCGAACACACTGAAGAACTCTGTAGATCTGTAAGTTCTCAAGTCTCTTGTCTGCTAAAGCCATGTTAGACGTTCACTTCTTAATAATTCTTTCTGGACTAAGACAAAAACTGTAGAGCAAAAGGGAAAACAAAAGAAAGGTTAACTGTCACTGTCATTAAGTTACAGTATTTGAAAGCTCAGAAAAGAAGTTTTGAAACAGATATGATTTAGTTTAATCACTACTAGAAAAATTATACGTAACTTAAAAATATGCAGCTGGTATAACATTAAACTATTTCAGCTTTCCCAGCATAATTAATTCTGGTTTGTTGTCACACTTAACCTCTCCTCGTTGTCATGATGTTTTTTACATTTGCCATGAAGGAAGTGAAGTTAACTGTATTGTCAGCATGAGAGTATGGGTTCCCAGCTGTGGCCCACACCAGGTCTTTCTCCTTTCTTGAAATATACATCTAGTTTAGTCAAGTTCACTAAGAACATGAGTCCATTGGGCTGTGTGAGGCCCACAAGGTAGGAGCGTAGAGAAGACATGAGTGGTCGCAGACAGCGTTGGAGAAACCAAGAATGTTAATCACGCAGGGTTGCCTTCTCCAAGGAGGACATTAATACCTGTTTTCCACCCAGAAGGCTGGGAATGGATATTGCTAATTACTGGGTGACCTTTGCTATCTATAGCACCAGACATCACAGGAATCCTCCTGAATGCTTATCACAGACTCATCTGTCCACAGAGCCTATCTGTAGCATTTTTTTTTTCTCAGTCAACAGAACCCACCCTTAGGGGAGATGTCACATGGACTTTATAGCCTGCTGACTTCAATACTATATCCTTCAGAAACCACAACAGATCCTTGGCCCTTAAGCTATAGAACCCATCTTCATGGTGGAGATCATATGTACTTTGCAAAAGAGTTTCAATGTAGTATGGCCTTGATTTTATTGTACACAGATGATTGTTATAACCAGGAAAACTTTTTTTCCAAAATTGTACTGGATTTAAGTATGTCTAAAATAAACTCATCTGGTGCCAGACTCCAGGAGTTTTGACTCAGCACTAGCTAAGTCGTGGTGACCCAGGTTTTATTTTTACCTTACCCAGATCATTTCAGTTCCAGCCATGACACTTGCTGGGAACCCCTGAAGGAGGGATGATTTTCACATCATCTTAAGTGAGGCTCAGTCAGCTACATGGAGGAGAGACAGCTAAAAATTTCATAAGTAACATCAATGTTAAGTGGAGCACTCTAACATGTAATTTCACCTCCTTATGATTTTTCTAGAAAAATAATCATTTGAATGACTAGTAGGCCCCGCTTCTAGATATGCTCAACGTGTTCATATTTTTTTCTGAAAAAAAATCATTTTCATATGAGAAATCAATTATAAGTAGGGGTTGTCATTCTTCCCCTAGTCAAGTCCCGTTGCAAAGAAGCATCTGTCTCTAGGTGTATTGAATTGCTGAGCTGTATACCCCTAGGGGATGCTGGCTTTCTCTAGTAGAACCATATGGAAAGACTTTTAATGCTGAGGCTACCAAGCAGCGAGGTTTGCCACTTGGGGCTATTGCAGAAAGCATACACTCAAAGGATGGATGAAGACAAAAGGATGGCAACAGCTGCACCCTGGGTCTCACTGGGTCAGAAGCCCACCCCGCCCCCACCTTTTATCAAAGGTTGCATGAGAAAATCTATCTTCCTTCTTTGGTAGGAACCAAGCAGCTAGCCATATGTCCTATTACTTCCACAACAATTCGTGAATTCCCTTCTCCAGCTAACATGGGCAGTGGAGGGAATTCTATTTTACTACAAAATTATCAAGTAGACACATTCTTTCCCCCCACCTCAATCTGGCTCCTTCACCAACATGTTCTAGGGCAGTGAAGTGCACCATTGTTCTTTGTTCCTTCTTCATGTCTCCATAGGCAACCAGGTTAGGCTCCGTTGCCTGTTTCTTCCTTTATCACTGCCCATTCCTCTACTCTATTCTTAGCTGGCACTCCTTGTTTTTTTATGATTGACATCTCCTTTTTGGAGCGTCTTGGTAGAGCACAGGACTCTATTTTATCCTTGGGAACCCTGTGGCTAGTGCCAGCTCCTTACTTTTATCCAAATTTTCAGCGTCTGAGTCTTCACTCTCAATTTTATTAGCCTCCCCGGAGTGAAAAGGACTATTAGCCATCTTTAGCTGATGGGCTTCACTAACGTGTCATAGCCAAGGGCCAATTGATACATGCTAAGAAAGGAGGAGCCTTTCTTTTTCCGGTTGTGACCACTGGTAAGCTGTCTATGCTCCAGCAGATGGCCCTACGCTCGTGCACACGCAGTCAATATTATTTGGACAAAGTGAAATACAAAACAATAAAATAAAAGAGATGACAGGAAGGGAGACATGTTGGGGAATATTCAGGGATAACTGAAGGGGGGAAATAGAGGGTGGATACAGTCATAATATATTCTGTATATGTATGCAATTCCCAAAGAATAATTTACTTTTAAAAAGTAACATGATCATTGCAGAATATATAAAATTACCTTGACCTCCATTTCTTCCCATTTCCAATAATGGTATCAAAAGCCATCCATTTACTCCGATCAAATCACTAAAGTTATGTTTCATTCTTTTTTTCTTTTTCACAGACACTGCCACTCAAAAATCATCAGCAAGTATCATGACCTCTGCTGCTGGTATATATCTTGACATCAACCCTACAGGGTTGTCCTAGGCCAAATCATTGCCAGACTTCCAGTTTGTCTCTCTACTTATTCTATTCTTCAGACAACTTCAAGGAAAAAAGTCTTAAAAATGTAGATCAGATAGAGGCATTCACACTTTTGACCCCAAATTTTTTGGATTTTGTTTTTAAATTGCAAAGTGTGTGTTCAATGTCCATACATTCACTACTTAAGGGTTACCATTAAAGCTACCAACACTTGCTTGATATTTCATATCTATCCATCCCTTTATCCACTGATTAAGCTCAATTCTTGACGCAATTACAAGTACAGACACATTTTAATACACATACCCTGAACTTGAATCTATTTTTTCATATTTTTAAAATTTTTTAAACAATCTTTTTTCATTTTCCATACCAATCCCAGTTCCTACTCCCTCTCCTCCTCCCACTCCACCCACCTCCCCCCAACCACTCCTCAGAGAGGATGAGGCCTCCCATGGGGAGTCAACAAAGTCCAGCACATCACTTTGAGGCAGGACCAAGGCCCTCTCCCACCCCGTATCTAGGCCGAACATGAACTCAAATCTATTATGTATTTGCAGTCCTTTTCACATTTTGACTATGATATGAAAAGAGCAAATATTAAATATTCCAGCCTGATCTACAGAGCGAATTCCAAGAGAGTCAGTTCTACATAGAGAAAAATCTATCTTGAAAAAAAAATATATTTAAACTGTGCTTTTTTTGTCTTTCCCATTAGAATATGGTCATCAAGGAACATAAGATTTATAATACTGTTATTTCTCTATGCCCTAGAACCTGAATTATAAGGATGCACTTATTAATGAGTACTTTCTCAATACTTAACAGATTCAAGCTACAAAAATTGAAGAAGCATGAAAGAAAGTTCCGGGGTTTCTGGGTTGAACCACTAGATACCTGTCTCTGAAATGGGCTGCTCACGGTGGGCTCCACATTGGTCAGGCAGAGTAGACAGCCCTTTGACATGCTGAAAGGATATACAAGCTGATAGCCAGTTTTGAGACGTCAGAAGAGATGTCTGATCCAGGTCCGTGGTGGGTGATAAGGTCTTCAACAGTAACAGGGCAGCTGAAATGGGGGTCAAGGAGAGCAGACATCAATATCAAAGCCATAACACCAAGTCATTCCCTGTCCTCCTCCTTCTTCCCTTTCTCCTTTTGCTTCTGAGATTTCAGGCACGGTATAGCTGAGAAACTGGTGTCCCGCTTCCTTCCAGTAGGACCCGATGTGGTGCACTAGGAAACCAGAGAATGGAGTTTGCTCAAACCTTTGAATAAACAGTCTCCAAGTAAACCCGGGGTCTATCACCCATCTGCCTTTGCAGCATGGCTTACTGACACTTTTTTCAGATGCATTCATAACTTACTTCTGGTATGGTGTCATACTCTACTTATATATACATATATATGAAATATAGAACAAGGTGCTGCTAAGTGACTCTACTGAACCAACCCTGCCTTATTTGTGAGAGCAGGAGCTTCGTAATCAGACACTTTGATAATGTCTGAGTCCATTTACTGAAACAAAAATACTTCCCCCAAACATAAACAACAAAAACTGACATCATGGTTCAATCAAGCTTTAATCATGGGTTCAGTAGGTCCCTAGTCAGTCTTTGGGTTGGAAGACAGTGGCATGTAATTATAGTGTTTTGTCTTGAGTCTTTTATTTGAAGTCTAAATATCCTTAAATTCTATTTTAAATACCCACCCCTTCCGTATGCTTTCTGATTATTTTCCAAGGGCATTTTTCACTGCACGGGGAGATGCACAGACCTTTCAGTTCTCCACATGGCCCACAATAGGGGTGGTCCGTTAGAAAAATGGATGAAGCTGCACTTGGCAGAGGAGCATAGTAGAGGGGAGTCTACTGTGATCATCCCTCCTCTGCATCTGATTCCCCCACTGGTTGCATCCACGTTAACTACAATAGCCTGTTTTTAGTGATTTAATCTGTGAACTAGGGATACACAACAGTTGTCACTTTGTGGGGCTGGATGAAATGGAAACGAGAATTCTTGCAAAATATTTAGACAAGCCCTTCAGGACAAGCTGGCTACGAATAATCACTACCTCTGTGGGTTTCATTTCAGCCTACCCAACGGCGAACGTACATTTGTGGGCTTTTCTATGGTATCTTCAGGTTTGAGACCCAGAAAAACTTTAACAGATGAGAAGGGCGAGTTGAGATGGCAAAGGGTAGGGGACCAATCTCACCTTTTAGTCCTAGAGGCGATCAGGAGCCGGATTTCTCAGAGTAACTGAGTCCCTGGTCTTGTAAGAGCCCCTGTTCTCTGTGGCCTGGGACTGGCCCAAACCAAGGCCTTTGACCCCAATAATGAATGGTGTCCCTTCCGGCAGAGCAGGCCAGTCTGCGCGAGCAGCGAAGGGTGTGTGTGCCTGTGTGTAAGTGTCTGCCAGCTTGCGGCCAGGTGATCATAGGAGGCTAGATGCCGCCGCCAGGCTGGGCCCACTGTGAGCTTCACCCACGCACGGCCTGCTGCCAGGGCAACCGCTCAGGAGCGCGGCTGGGCGGAGCTTGCCCCGCCCACCGCCTGTCGCTCCAGTCAGGAGGCTTCTAGAACGCAAAAGTTAGGAGCAAGCCACCAGGAGGCCACCCTTTGATTCTGTTCACCCACCTCCTCCTGCCCTCGGTCAAAAAAAAAAAAAAAAAAAAAAAAAAAAAAGCAGAAAAGTAAAGCTGCTTGTGGTAAATAGTAACAATTAAATTTACACGATAGTTTACTGTGTAATATTAAGTAAAAGTGAAAAATGCAATAAATTGTGCAAACAAAAAATGATTTTTTTGTGTGTATACATTCCTAAAATTATTTAAGCATAAATGGAAGTAAATATGGAAATAATTTCATTTCATAACAACCCGTTCCCTCCATACACACACACCAGTTTGGAGGCAAGTTTTGAAACTTTATGTGAACGAAAGACCTGTATTTTTAAAATGTTTTCTTTTATGCACACGAGTGTTTTCCTGCAGGCCTCTAAGTCACTATTTGCACACAGTGCCCACAGAGGTCAGGAGAGGGTGAAGCTTTCCACTGAAATTTCAGTTACCGAAGGTTGTGAGTCTCCACGTGGTTGCTGGCAACAAACCCACCGGTCCTCCGCAAGAACAGCAATGTTCTTAACCACTGACTCATAACTTTAACCCACACTTTCATGGTTAAAATTAAATAATTTGAAAAAGTTTCTAAATAAAAGTTTAATGATCCGTGTCACCCAAACCATTTTATCTACCACAGAGATAATGCTTTAAACTATTTTAAGGACTATTACACAGAAAAATACTAGATGATATATAGATAATATGAAGGACATAAAGAGCAATGTGACTGAAGAAAAAGAAAACTGGGAAAAAGAATGAAAAAGAAAGGAAGAGAGAAAGAAGGAGAGAGACAAAGGCAGGAAGCTAAAGGCCATGTTTTATCACTGGACACCTGTGTATTTCTTCCCAATACTGAACTCTCCTCTTGCTGACCTTTGTCTGAACTTTGTATTTAATGTCCCCTAGTTTACAGAAATACGTTGCTTCCTGAAATAGGTGTTTGGTTTAGAATCACATTTTTATAAATTTTATTAAAATTGAGAAAATATCTGATTGTGGTAGCTCATTTTTGTGATTCTCGTACTCTTTGAGAGGCTGAGGTGGGAGGGAGGCTGGCTAGGCCTATAGCAAATTTGAGGCCAGTCTGAAATTTGTGAGGCCCTGTCCCAACAATAATCATAGCGCACACTACACACACCACACACACACACACACACACACACACACACACACACACACTTTATTTAACAATTGCACGCTATTCCATTGCATTATTATTCCCTGCACCTTTTAAGCCAGCAGTACTGTTGGTGGATTTCCAATATTTGTTAGTAAGGCATAGCTTCTAGGACCATGTTTGCCCATATTCTTTCGAAAAGTAAGTACAAGAATTTCTCTAGGCTGTATGACAGCAGTGAAACTTCGGGGACATAGATAACATATGCTATCAAGATAATGATAATGTGTTTTCCTTATTTTGGTGATGCAGTTGATGTCAGTGGTTTAATTCTGAGATCTGTGAAATTGCAATTATGGCACATTTTGGAGGATTCACATTTACAAAATGGAAGGGAACCGATGAGTAAGTCCTTCAGAACTATTGACGGGAAGCTGACAGAATGTAACACTTAGCTTATACCAACATAAGAGTGTGAATGTAAAACAGGACACTGGCTAAATTCTGCATTAGTCTAACTTGTTCGGTTTTTATCTGACCATGAGCATAGCATTTTATCTTATATTAAAACTATCTTTCATTTAAATTAAAATAAACACTTAAGATGTAATCCTCGGCATTTTCCCAAACATTTGGTAAACAAAAGCCATTTATTGAATTACCTCACACATGTTTATAAAAATTGTCACTAAATCTCCATAGATAAGCTACTTTTGTTACCAGGGACTTTGAAATTTTTGTTTGTTAGCCTGGAAGGCAAACCTTTGGTAATTAGTCTATAGCCTGTTGCTTAATCCAAATTATATTCTTGGTAGCTCATAAGGCCTGCCAGAGGGTGAGGTGTATTTAATCAGAAGTGAAATGTGTTGAGCCTTAAATACGTGTCAACATAGGACGGAGATAAAGCTGTCGAAGTTGTTTTACTGTTACTGTCTTCTTTGCACAACTCTTTACAAAGCCATCTCTCTCTTCTCAAGCCCATCCTTGCTTTAACGCTTCTGCTGTTTCTGGGTGTGCCATTGTGTGCTGGGAAGGGATGCTGTTGGGCCATCCTGCACAGGGATATAAAGCTGTGTGTTGTACAAGTAATATCAACAACAGATACTTTCTATCTTTTCAAATGATAAATAAAAACACGTCCCAGGATCTTGAACTGAGACATACGCTGGCCGACGACCTGACAAACCGCTCAGCACTTGCATTTGCAGCTGCAGCTTCCCTCACTGCTGCACAGAAGCGCTTCTGGCCACGCCTTGAGTGAGGCTTGAATAGGAGCAATTTGTGGATAATTATATCCAGGTCAGAATCTACACTTTCTCCAGCTTAAAGAAGCTATTTTCGGATCTCACGGGGTGGGGGTGGGGGATAAATACCTTGGAAGCTCTTGCTGGGCACATTTTCTTAGCTTGAGTCTTGATTCTTCTGAATAGTCTCGTCTATTTCTAAGATTTTTCTCTTCTACTGAATTTTGAAATGCTTCGATTGAGTGGATTACTTATCACTCAAAGACTGAATTTCTAACTAGGGAATATTAGGGTCTGCATTTGTAATAGTGCACTTTTAATCACAATGCCCAGTTCTTGCACTAAGCTATTTGGGATTTTCACTTATTAAAAAAGAGCAGTGCTAGTAATTTATAATAGTTTATGCAAGTTTTCAAATGGCCTCGTGTGTGACTGGTGTGGTTCATTTTATAATTCTTGTAACTTCTCACATGATGTGGTTGTTTCCTTCACTTTCTTATTTTAGGTGCAGCTTTTCTCTTTAATCAGAAACACAAAGGCTTTTCAGTTTTCTAGATCATTATAAAAAAAGGCACTTTTATTATATATCCTTTCTAATATATTTTTAATTTTATTGAATTCAGCTGTTTTCCTTTAATATCTCATAATAGCTAGCACTACTCATTTTACATGTTTTTATTCACTAATTTTAGGTTAAAACTGTTTTATCTCTAATGTACTTTATTAATGTAGGCCCGAAAGGATATACATTTTTCCTTGAACACATTTTCATTCGTGTCTCCTGGTCTTAATAATAAGTAGTCTTTTAATTGCTTCATAAAGAGCAGAAATATTACTTGTGCGCTCTTTGATGCCAAGATGGAGTATGTTGCTTTATTTTCAATTAATTAAACAGTTGATCATTTCGAAATAATTTAATTTGCTATGTTATGATCAGATAGTGGGACTATTAACCGACTTTAAGAAATAATTCATAAAAGGACATAAAAAGTGTATTATCTGGGAAATGAAATGAGTATATTTAATCAACTTTATTGTATTATTCCATTTCCTCTGTGTTTGACTATTTTTAAAATCTGTTCAATTCATAATATATTAAATCTTCAGTAATAAGAATGTTTTATCATAATGTTCTTACATTGCTAGTAGTTTTTCCTTTATCTGCTGCTGTTTCTTGATCCAACTGAATCTGGACTTTGGTTTATCATCGCCCCTCTTTGTTCTTGGGGAGATTCATGGTGACAGACTTCAGTGTTCCAGTCCAGCTGTTCTACCAACATTTCTGATTGTCCATGTAAATGTGAGAAAAGGTGAGAATCTGTGCTCCTGTGGAAACAGTGATAATATCGAGGCGATGCGGGTTGTTTATATTATCTTCTGACTCTCCATTGAGAACCACACAGCTCAGGTTTTTTCCATTTCACACTCAATGCATCTTGTTTTCTGTAAGTGCAATGTCGCGTGGGGCATCAGAGATGAGGTCACAAAAGACACGATAGCTTCTGACTCTTAGAGTTTTGATTTGAGAGCAGAGAGGAACTGAAGCCTCCAGCCAAAAGCCATGGCCTACACACCTAGATGGTTTCAGTGTTCCTTGTCTCCAGTCTGGAGTCACCATCTTTAATCCCAGCAGAAGTCCAGAACTAGCCCCACTTGTAGAGAAGAGAAGTCGCCAGAAACAAGGTTTCTGCTCTTTTAAGCCAGGAAGTTCTGGTGATGATTTTTTAGAGAACAAATGATAATATATCCACTTCCCCTGAGGATGATGAAGAATTGTTGATAGATCATGTATGAAACTCTGCCATTGTCCCTGCAATGTGATTCAACAACCTACACTGGGAACTTCTCTGCCTTAAAACAACAAACAAACCAGTCTTGTTCAGGTTCCCTTAAATCAAAGTTCATGTGCGCCTCATGACTTAGCCTCCAGAGTAACTGAGAATGCAAGTATGTATCATCATGTTCCGCCATATTTTTCTTCTTTTCATCTTAAGCCCTGAACATTTCTGTTGCAATCATTTGTTTTTGACTGGAGTTGTTTCTCCAGGATTTGCCTCAGCTAGGTACTTCTAGGCTAGACTTCTCTGAATTCTGGAAATCTGTGAATATGCTTACTATACTCTGATGAGTATTCTATCATGTGTTGAATTTCTGTGGTCAGGTCCTTTGCCTGAGCACATCGAATGTTTCCTACTGCCCACAAACACCTCCCACTTCCCTCCAGTGGGTAGGTATTTTACTCTTCTTGAACATCTGGTGAAATTTCCTTTCTACTTTGTAAATCTTTGCTTCTTCCTTAAAATTTGTTAATAAATAAAATTCGTTATCTTGGTTTTGGAAAATAACCAGGATGTATTTAGGTTGGCACTTTATGAATTTTGCTTAGAGACCAGGGGCCTCTTTTCATGTACAGTCTTGGGTTTTCATTTGCTTTTAATCATTTGTTTTATTTTTAATTTTAATTAGCTTCTGTGAACACTGGCAGCTCAAAAAGGCGGCAAGATGGCGTCTCGACAA